CCCCCCCCCCCCCACCCCCCAAAAAAACATCCAAACATGACTGAAACTGACACAGGTATGAATGAAACCAGTTCAATGCTTATTGGGAAAAAAATTTGAGAGAACTTACCGTAATCTAGTGCTTGTGGTTGGTTGTTCCCTGCAGAATTTGCATTGTCTATTTGTTCTCCTTGGACATAAGCTCCCTGCTCATAAGTAGATGGTCCATTGCTCTGGATGCCTCCATTGGAATAAAAAGCAGACTGTGGTGGCTGCTGCGGTTGTGGTTGAAGCTGAGATCCAACAGGCGTGACTAGATTGTTGTTGTTGTTTCGAGGAAACATATCTATAAGTGCTAGGGCATTCTCATCATATGGAGACAGTGATGAAACTGGCCCGCTAATAGGAACAAGAGCGAGTGGATTCTCTGCTGCAGGTTTGCTGTAATCATCCCCACTGAGAAGATCTACGAGAGAATCAGCTTTCCCTGCAGGGGTTGATGAAGCATTGGATGCTGGAGGTGCAGGTAAGAGCAACTGCTGAGGAGGAGGCTGACTGCTTGTGCTTGTAACAGAACTACAAACATAAGAAATAATTAACAAAAATAAAAGAAGTTATTAACTGAAATTTCAAAAAGAAAAAGAAAGAAAGAAAGAAAAAAGTGTTTATTGTGGACCTTAGAAAGGATTAATGCATTCAGGAATTGAAGTCTCAGGTACTAAATGGAGTGCACCGTACTAGAGCTCTACGTTGTAATTACAGGATTATGTATGTGTGGGGCACTCAAGTCCTAAAAATCCAGTTTCCACACCAACAACATATCATATTTGGGATTAAAGAAAAAGAAAGCAAATGATTTGACAATTTGAGGACGCTATATTTATACCATGAAAACATTTTTTGACACTTATTCTACACTTATGGGGAACATTGATTGCCTTTTGTTGTTTGAGAACTTTAAAAAATTAGAAAATCTTAGTTATTATTAGTAGGAGAAACACTTCTCAATAACCATTTGTGTAAAAATACTTTTTAGCATCAATTAGATATAAAGAGATTCTATAAAACTAATCGTTACGTGAAGAATATCAATGGTGCATAAATATACATACATGTGTGATGTGTGAGTGTGACTATTTGAGTCTGATATCTTGTACGTATGTGTAAAAAAATAGTTACATTCAGTAATTTTTCTATGTTTTTCAAGTAACATGCATAATTTTTTCTGTATATTATTTCTTCCAATTTGAATGGGGTTTATAAGTAAAATGAAGAGATTGTGTAATTTAACTTTTATGTATTTGGAACTATTAGTCCTGCATGGGTGTCATGCAAACCATTCTGTTTTCGCGTGTCATCCCTCTGACTCTGGCTCTAGCTGCTAGCTTAAAAAGAATGGGTTTGCAGATTTTTTTTTAAGACGGCATTACATTCAAGAGAAAACCTATTAATAGGGTAAAAGCATGTTTATCCAAAAGATCAATTAAGGTTAATTAGATAACTCTATGGCAACAACAACACAGTTTATATCTTAGTGCATAGCTTCATGACATCCCTTTTTCTGAAGGGCATAAAAGAAGACTACTTATGCTCATCATAAAGGATATGCATTCAAAAAGTTGACAGGAAAAATATTTGGTTAGTACAGAAACAACAAAGGGATTACCCCTTATCTGGATGAGCCTTGTTTGAAGCTGTAGAATCATCAATATCCACCAGTGACTGAAGGGATTTAGGTTTCTCCGTGTGAACAGAAATTCCTGCAGCGATAGCATCATGTTTTGCTAGAACACGCTGCAGGTCATCATTCAGCGTGAGTCCCTTGGAAAGAAGTTCCTCATCCCTAGAATGAGTCCGAAATGGTATCAGGAGTCAGGACATAGTGCAAAGTACTGACACATACACGCATATGCATATGCAATGATTTCAAAAAAACACTAGTATGTCAAAGCTGATCCGAAAGCTTGATGCTACTATTCTGCAAAGATGCTAGGCCCAGTAGTAGCTCATAAAATAGTCATTGGGTGGATTGGAAGACAATCCAGTCAAAAGTCTAAACAAAAAAGAAAGAATAGAACTGATTGATACAATTGTAAAAAATGACACTTTGATAAATGATTGATTCAGAAATTATGTTCCATAGACAAGAAAGAGGGGAAGTGTTTTAACTGAAATGCAATGTTGCATGGAATCAGATACCCTCAGACAAACAAGTGATAATTGACACAAGACAAAAGAAGTACATGCCTTATCATAATACAAGAATTCTAAATCTGATATTAAGTAATGATAAGAGGTCTTACGATGTTGTGTTTACAAGTTGCACCACTCTCTGCTTGTAAGCACGACACTGCTCAACAAGGTCAATGATAACCTCCTGTTTTGGTCCCTGTACATCAATATTAACATGCCTCAGAACTTCTGGAATTCACCAAATTCACATGGAAACATCATTCAAATTAAACAGGACGAGAACTGCAATAACCTGCTTTTGCTGATGTTTAGGATTATTATTTAGTTGATATTGCTTTTAGACATCATCAGTGGCAGAGCCACATATGTTTTTGCAGGGGCCTGGTCCCCCTAAGTTTTCGCAATTCCATAGACATGGCACTTGTTGAAGAGTAGGAACAGAATTGATGTCTTTATTGGTGAAGTGGGCTTATAAAAAAATGTTTCATAAATAGGTTTGTCTTTAGATTGTACGTGGCTTTGTACTTGATTTGGCTTGACTGATCAATGTGTTTAAGAATATTTTGGCTGGATTTCTTGTAACTTAATCTTTTTAGTAGGTTTCTTAGTTTTATTTTTTTGGAGAGAAATAAGGGCCTTAGCGCAATAGATATCTAGGATATATAGTTTGATAGCAGTGATTTTTTAACCGTGGAGAAAGTTGTTTATAATCGAAATATGTTTTGAGTCAACATTGAAGCTTTGCACTTGTAGTAATAAGGTTACATGCAGTGTTATCGAGGCGCGCGCCCCAGGCGCGGGGCGCTGCGGGTTGGGGCAATTGCGCCCCGCACCAGAGACGGGGCACTTGCATCATGTAATAGACTCTTTCTTCTATTTTTTTAAAAATAATTTACATATTACATATTTACATCATGTAATAGACTATTTCTTGCTAGTTAATCCATTCTTCATCTTTTCATGTTTAACCTATAAAAAGGAAATAGTAATTAGTAATTTAGTATACTTGTTTGCTAACAATAACTTCCTTTTCTAATTAACATGCTAACTATAAATTATAAACATGTAAATATGTAATTGTTATCTTCATTCTCCATCTTTTCATGCTAACTAGCAAATAGCAATTAAGAATGCTAACTAGAAAATTATGAACAGTCATATTTGTTAATCATTTAATTGTTACTTAAAAATACATATATCAATTTTAAATAAAAATACATATTTCTTATTTGTTACTTGCTTGTTTTGTTTCATAGACTTTTGCTTATGTTGGAGATTATCTTACATTGTGATTTGTGAAAACTTATGAGCTTCTCTATGTTATGCATGCTAATTAAGACTCTTTCGTGATTTAGTATGTGAAATTATATTTCTTAGTTTTTTATGTTACAATTTATAAACATGTTGCTTATATGCTTTTTTGTCTTATGTTGGAAAATGTTGGTTTGAGTTATGCGCCTCAATTCAGTGTGGCGTGCACATCGTTGTGCGCCTTGTGCATGGTGCGCATAAAGGGCCTTTGCGCCCCGCATTGCGCCTCGCGCCTCGATAACACTGGTTACATGTTTAAATGAAGTTAAGAAGCAATATAAGTCTCCTCTTATTTTGACTTGCCTTAATTATGAATCATGAAGAGGAGGTGATCTTGTTAGCATCTCCAATTTCTTGCAATCCAATCTCTCATCAAGCGAGGAACATTTTGAGGTCTGATCTTTCTCTCTCTCTACTCTATTTTTCAATGAATTATCTGTATAGCACAACTTATAGCAGCGGATTGTCGCAATGCAGATCTTTCTTAAGAGGAATTTTATCTATTTCTCTTTCTTTTATTGGCTGTATAACTTCTTGTATAAGGATTTTATTATGAATATCTTTGAATCAAGACAAACATTTGGTTTGAAATTAGTTTTTTTAATGAAGTGAATAATCTGGTGTTTATATATTTTGGCCCACCCAAGATAAAATTTCTAGAGCTCCACTACTGGACATCATGAATATTGGAACCAAACAAAGAGACTGAAAAATTAACAAAAACAGCGAGTCATAAGTTGGATAAATTATTGATTGTGTTAGGATGAAAATGGCTCTGGTATACTTTCTTTCTCGGCGAGCTATTTTCAGTAAAAGTAGGACCAATGACTCAGCAGCAGGACTATAAGAGAGAGGTGACTTGAAAGTAGAAAATATATTAAAATTATGATATTGAAGGATACCTCTCGGTTTCCGGGATCCAAAGCATTCAGCATTTCTGAAAGAACGTCCATGATGCCCTGGGCATTTTGCATTTCTGTGAGGCTGAATCAAATATATGTTAAGAGTCAAATATAAATATAAGAATTCATGATATTAAGGACAAGGCAAATAACAATACAAAGCCTATCCCACATTTGTTTGCCAAAGGTTGGATATCACCTATTTGGAAGAACTGAAGGAATCTGAGTATCTAACTAATTCTGTTGAAGGCCCCATCCTCTGCCAAACTAGCAACTGGCTTAACCATTTTTTACTTGCATATTAACGTTCATTTTGGTATATCCTAGTCCTGCCTGCTACTTCACTACAATCTTATCACTATGATAATATTGATGTGATGAATCGGCTTGTAAGAGAGAAATGGAGAATGACTAGTGAGATATGAAATGATCTAGTACCTGTAGCAACAAAGAACCAGTTGGTAAGATAATAAAATACAATTCAGCCTGAACTTAATGCTTCACCATGTCAGAGTTCAGTTCAGAAACAATTTCAAGTTATCCTGCTCTTCATGATGAGCACACTTTCTTTTATGATATCAGAAAAGTAAACAATGATGTCCCTATGGAGAATCCACTATGGCTAGCTAAACTACCTTGTGATGGGATTGGCTCAACCTGGTTTGAGTCTGCTGGGATCCATTAGTTTACACTTTACATATTTGATTAGAATTGATCTAGTTTTTAGATTAAGTTGCTTTTTGAATTTGATTTGAACTCGGTATAGGAAATATGATTCATTATGAAGATTCGATTTTTTAAGCACCATTCATATCACTAAAGGTCTATTTTATACATGGATTAATTTGGCATTTTTATGCAAGAAGTCCCATTTTGGTTTAAAACAACCCCTAGACGTTTAATGTTAGATCAAAGTTGATGAATGAAAGATTTGTTTTGTTCTACTCATTTATATTTATTTCCTTAAATTGCAGTTCATTTAGTTCTTTAATCTCTTAATATCTATTCCTTGCTCAGAGAGCTTCCTTCAAACAGAAATCTTAATTATGTAATTATATTCTTCACCAGGAGAAGTGGCTAGCAAACTCTTTTTGAGTTGTCAATGTTGAGTCAAGGCTTTGAAGAATGTGAATTGTACTTGTACACGGTGAAAATGGGTAATATAAAATGTTACTGATCCAGTTCACAGGCAAAACCCCAGTGATCATGCATAAATAATGTGCACCAGAATTTTACAAATTAGTTATATTTAGGTGGCAGCTGCAAAGAAAACACACCTCAAGGTGGGAAATTCAGATGCAACAGAAGTCTCCGGTTCCGCTTGATGATTAGGGCTTCTTATTGATGGAGGATAGGATGGTAAAGGTTGTGTTTGTGGAGGAGTTAATACAGGCGCAGAGCTCTCAGATCTTTGAGGAAACACAGCGCCAAGCCTCTGATAAAGAAATTGAATATATATATGAGAAAATGAAAAAGAAATGTAGATATTGTAAAATAATAATCTAGAACCAGAAATAATATGCTAGAGTAATGTCAAAATGCAATTGTCTGCATAAACTAGGAAGGAATACCAAGAGCTCCTGATATGCAGCATAATATTGCGGATATCTTGCTCGTGGGCCACCAAACGCCTCTTGCCATGTGTCTATTAAACTCAATACCTTTTCCTTGACGTGCAAATCAGGATTCTGTATGTAGAGGAGAAAGCTCATTTAATATCATACGAAAATATGCAAGTAGTAACCGATGCACAAGACTTTTTGAGAAACAGCGCAACCTTCTTTTTTATTATCTTCACCATTTCATGCAATACATCTTTCTCTGCAACATGCATATGGACAACATCGCCACAATTCTTTATTACTGTTTCCAGCAACTGAAAGATGATAAAAATAGCATAAAAAGTAGGCTAAATCCTTCAGCATGTAGAAGTAAAGGATTTTATAGAACAGCAGTAGCACGAAAAGAGCTAAAATGTCATATATAATGGATAAATTGATATCAGCAGCTATTTGTTCAATTCTATGGCATTTACAAAGTGTTACACATCCTTATAAGATTGCTGGGACAGATGAAGCGCATATTAACTGTCCCGCAATTCAAAAATCAATAGACAAAGCATGAGACGCGTAACAGCAATTGATGTCTAATCTTCCCCTTGTTCCTAAATAAACTTCAAGTACACTGACAGAGAAATAAAACGGTTCCATGACACTGACTTCTTCTCATTGAATACAAAACTAGGACATTACAGCAAATGGGATATGGAAGAATGTAAACGGAGGTACACCTTGACCGAATTAATTTTAAGAATACCAGACCTGTTAACTAGATCAAATTTGGCATTGCTAGCCAGGAAAATATATTTTCAAAAGGAGTAGGAGATTTCCTAAACTGACCACATGGCACATGGTGAACAAAAGAACTTCGGATACCAAGAAAAAATGCATCTCAAAACAACTCAAATTTCAAGAGTGTAAAGTCGAAGTTTAAACAGTTTATTTGATAATCGCATGGGAGAATGCAACTGGATAATGATCAAAATATCAATTAGCCAATAAGTTCCTGCCAACATGGGATAATTTGGGAAGCAAAGTTACTAGGTTAGATGTTCCATTATAAGGATTAAGGAAATTACTGAAACAAATATCAATTTCACCTTCAAGAATCAAAACTATAAAGATAGAAATGAAAATTAGAGTTTAGATAATAAAGTCAGTATAAACATTTGAGATAATTGTACTCACAGTAAGTGCAAGAAGTTGGACTTTTGGATTCTTACTTCGAACACGTCTTTTGAGGCCTTTTACAACATCCTTCGCTTGCCTGGTACATTGAAGAGTGAACACAGTTAAGAAAGTGTACAGATCATCACCACAGTTATCATCAGCAGATTAGGCCAATATCTTTGAGTAGTACATAGAGAGAAATGCCACGACATTTGTGAACTCCAACCTTTCCCCATAGTGCATTTATATATGACAAGATCCAACTCATATCACTCTCTTATTCGGTTCAAAAAAAAAGGAAGCTGACATTCTTTTTTTTTCTTTCTTTTACGCTCTTCTGAATGAGAAGAAAAAAGTATATTTATGAACCATGTAGTAGTGTGAAGAACACCCAATTGGCCTGCACGTTACTATTGGATGTTTATGATTTCTGAAGAGGAGGAACTCAGGCAGAGCGAGAAGCCATGCGATAAAGAGAACGGATGCCAATGAAATTTTGTCGAGCTTATAACTTATCAAACCAATCCAACAAAACAAAAGTGCAGGTACCTTAGGACGAAAGAGGTGTTATTAGGTACCCATTTCTTCCACTTTCTGACTTCAGGTGGCCAAGAAGCTTTGTCCTTTCATTTCAACCAGCAATTGTTTGTGTGACTATTTCCACATAATTATAGGATTAGAACCTATTTTGCTTTGGGAAAGGCAAAAAAGGTACAGAAGAAATCAGGTAATAATGGGATAGCTAGCACTGAGAAGAAATCAGAGTTTTATATCAGTGTAAATGTGTATACAATATCCATATGCATTAAATCAGTCATATTCTTAACACCACTTGACTCCATGTTATATATAAGTGAGAAGGTGTGTACATATATCTATATGCAGTAAATCAACCATATTCTTAATACCACTCGACTCAGTATTTTATATTAGTGTGCATCCATGTAAATATATCCATATGCATTAAATAAGTCATATCCTTTTTTTTTAATCAAAAGAAATATCATATATATTAAGAAAGCTTGTACAAAAAATGCCTCCCTCGTATTGTATGCCTCATAGCAATACAAGGTAACCAAAAGGCCTAGCACAAGGACAGTGTCATATCCTTAATAATACTTCCTTAAACATCATCCCCCAAATCTGGAGTTGCCAATCAGATATACTGCATCAACCAACCCCTCTCCATGTATTCTTGCTCTCTATTTCTGCCTCCTCTGTCAATGTTCTCTACATGCCCGGTGAAAGCCCGTAATTGATGGCAGGAAATTTATTAAATAATGCTAGCACTATCCTTATGATAAATATATTAGAAAGTGAAAACTAACAGGTGATTCCTTTCCTCTAGCATAAGCTAACGCAATAAAACTGAATTCTCCTCTTATTGTATGGACTTAAACTGAAAACTTCAGCTATTCACCAAGTTACATGTGATGCTGTAGTTCACCTAGACAACTCGGTACCGTTGTCCGTGATTTGATGCCTAAATCTTCTCAACGCCTTCTACTATGCCGATAGCACTATTTGCCAATATGTATCCTGAACCTCTGGGATGTCTAGATGTTAACATCCACCTGCATCTACAGATTGATAAGATTTGCAATAACATTGCAACTCTGTGGTTGATCACTCTGAAAATACAGTGTCGGATGTCACTCACAGTTCAGCAAGTCTAGCCGAATTCCGACGCTCACATTAAGTCCATATACGTGTAAGTTGTAACTTCTACCAGCACATGATCTAATCTGTAGGTCAGGCAGTATTATACTCTCTCTCTCTCTCTCTCTCTCTCTCTCTCTCTCTCTCTCTCTCTCTCTCTCTCTCTAATTCTAATAGAAACTAGAAAAACCACGGATAATTCCTTTTTCTAGCAAAGTTGTGGTCTTGATCCATCTGTTCTTTTTAAACCAACCATAACATTTTGCCTACTGACAAAGAAAAAGGGTCAATACTGCAGTAATCAAAGGGTTTCATGTGCGCACACAAGTAATCTTATCAGTAAATGAATACAACAGTAAATAAACAAGAAAAAGAAAACTAAAACAAGAGGAAATCGATACCCAGGATCACGATTGAGTATATCGCAGATCTCGATGTTCATGGCCCAATCAGGACCGATCAGTTGATCGCTCGTCGCCCGATCTACCATTGAACTCGCCATTTCAAAGAATCAAGATCCCGACTTGATTTTCGACAGAATTTCTTCAATTATTAAGACAACTAGGGCTATTGTGGATGATCCGTTCCGTTAAACTTGATCTACATATTTTAAAACCCCAACACACCAAATTTGGTGTGAACTCGTTGTGGTTTGATCCTCCGTCGAGCCATGTAAAAAGTTCTATTCACTCGAAACCGTTAAAATTGACACGAGTGGATGAAGGGTCAAACTACGACGGGTTCACCTCAAATTTGGTGTGTTGAGGTTTTAGAATATGTAGATCAAGTTGAACGGAACGGATCATCCACAATGTAGCTCAATCAAGTGATCATCAATGGATAAGAAACTTAGTGGACGTCCACTTAAGTTGACAGAAGTTTTACTCTATATATATATATATGAATTTATATGAATATAAATAAATTAAGGAATGGAATTTTATCTCTCCTTTTTGTGTGAGAAATTACGTAGCAGAAAGAACGAAAGTATTTCGCAGAGGCCACCGCAAGTTTAAATTAGTCTTGGGTTTAACTCTTGGTCAGATAATTTGCAATGCACGTGCTCACAGATAATTTAATTATTTTTTTTTAGAGAAAAATGTGTCAAGGCCATGAATGCCTTAATTTGTGGCCTCACACCAAATGAATACAATAGGGTCTCTACTTGTTCTACCGCACATGAGATTTGGACCAAACTTTGCATTACACATGAGGGAACCCCAAGTTAAAGAATCAAAAATTAGTGGGCTCATGCATGATTATGAATTGTTTAGAATGCTTCCAAATGAATCCATTGATACCATGTTTTCTCGCTTTACTAATATTATCAATGAATTGTATGGCTTAGATAAGAAGTTGTCACCCCAAGAGATGAACTACAAAATTCTTCGACCATTGTCTCCGGTGTGGGAACCCAAAGCCACGGCTATAGAGGAAGCTCATGATCTCACCACTCTAGATCTTGATGGTCTCATTGGCAAGCTCAAAGTTCATGAGAAGAAAATCAAAGAGAAGGAGAAGGAGGAAGAACCCCCAAAGGCAATCGAGGAGCTATCCCAAAAGAAGACAATTGCTCTTAAAGGAGCCATTGATGACTCCTCCTCCTCGGATAGTGAAACCGGTGTTTCTAGAGAAGTGGCCCACCTCTCTAGAAGAATTTCTAAACTAATAAAATTAAACAAAAGTTTTAACCGATCTAACAACTATTCTTCTTCTCGTATAGGAAAATGTTTTGAGTGCAATGAACCGGGTCATCTAGCCAAGGATTGCCCAAAGATCAAGGAGAAATACTTAAAGTATAAGAAGAAAAATGCAATGTATGCCGGATGGGATGAATCCGAGCCAAGTGATTCGGATAGCGACGAGGAAGGAGCAAAGTTTGCTCTTCATGACCATAACATTTGCTTTATGGCCAATGAAGATGAGGTAACTATTTCCGACACCGAAAGCGAATCTTTTTATATGCAATGTGATCTAGCTACCGCTTTAGAAGAGTTAAATTCTGAATTTAAAAGAATAGCTAAAGAATACTCTTCGCTTAAAAAGGTGCATGCTTCCATGGTTGAGGAATTACAATCCTCTATTGCTCAAAAGGATTAGTTGTTAGGGGATCTTGATTTTGAGAACAAACAATTAAGATCAAAAATTGAAAGACTAGAAATTGCAAATGGTAAAATTTAAATTACTCATGCATATCCTAGACATCATCATCTCCAAAGAAATGAACATCATAGATCATATGCTTCTACACCTAAGAGACGCTTTGTGTGCACATATTGCATGAAGTATGGTCACATATCCACTCATTGTAGAATTAAGGATAATATGAATTATTATAATATGGCATGGGTACCCAAAGGTACCAAAAACACTAACTCTCAAGGACCCAAGACTTGGGTACCTAAAGTCTCTACATCATCTTATGTAGGGAACATCACAAACACGACGTAGGGGGATGTGGTACCTTGATAGTGGTTGCTCACATCACATGACGGGCAACAAAGAGCTATTTGCAACCCTATCAAGGATTGAAGGAGGCAATGTCTCCTTCGGTGGCAGTGAGAAAGGTAAAATCATTGGTATTGGAAATATTAGTAAGATTCCTTCTCCCGTTATAGAAGATGTTTATTTGGTAAAAGGTTTGAATCATAATCTTCTTAGCATTAGTCAATTAAGTGATAAAGGTTTTGATATCTCTTTTAAATCGGATAAGTGCATTATTAGCATGAATGGAAAAACTGTTTTTATTGCTAAAAGAAAATCTAATGTGTATATTTTTGAGATGAATGAACTAGTTAATCAAAATTTGAAATGTCTTGCGGCTATTGATGATGATCCTTGGATTTGGCATAAAAGACTTGGTCATGCCAACATGGAATTGATATCCAAACTCTCCAAAAGAAATCTTGTAAAGGGATTACCAAACTTACACTTCATCAAGGATACCGTTTGTGAAGATTGTGCTAAAGGTAAACAAACCAAAGCTATGTTCAAATCCATCAATGAGGTATCAACTTCTAAACCTTTGTAATTATTGCATCTTGACTTATTTGGCCCTATGCGTGTTACCTCTCTGGGAGGAAAACACTATGTTTTTGTTGTTGTTGATGATTTCTCTCGCTTTACATGGACAATCTTTCTTAAAAATAAAGATGAATGTTTTGAGGAATTCTCCTTTTTAGTAAAAAGAATAGAAAATGAAAAGGATTTGAAAGTTGTTAAAATTAGAAGTGATCATGGTGGTGAATTCCAAAACAATTTCTTCAATGATTTTTGTGCACATCATGGTATAACTCATGTATTTTCCGCCCCAAGAACACCACAACAAAATGGTGTTGTTGAGAGAAAAAATCGTACCATACAAGAGATGGCACGTACAATATTAAATGCTTTTGATTTGCCTAAATATTTTTGGACGGAAGCCGTCAATACGGCTTGCCATGTTTTAAATCGTGTTTTGATTAGACCTAAGCTCAAGAAAACTCCTTATGAACTCTTTTATGGCAAAACTCCATCTATTGGATATTTTCGTATTTTTGGTTGTAAATGTTTTATTTTAAATACAAAAGATCACCATGATAAATTTGATTCCAAAATTGATGTTGGTATCTTCTTAGGATATGCTCTTAGAAGTAAGGCTTATAGAGTCTTCAACAAAAGAACACTTGTTGTTGAAGAGTCTATAAATGTTACTTTTGATAAAACTAATATTGGTCTTCAAGATGATTTGCCTAGGAATGTTGATGATGAAGATATTGAGGGAGGATTGGAAGGCTTGCAATTAAATAAAACACCCTCAATTGATGCACAAAAGGATGTGGAATGCATTATCACTCATGGGCAAGAGGAACTTCCCAAAGCATGAAAATTCACATCAAATCATCCAAAGGAGCAAATTATAGGGAGCCCTTCACACGGGGTTCTAACTCGCTCAAAGGTTTTAAGTGAATATGGTAATATTGCTTTCTTGTCTCAAATAGAACCTAAAAAGATTAATGATGCCTTAAAAGATGAGTTTTTGGTTTTAGCTATGCATGATGAACTAAACAATTTTAAAAGAAATAATATTTGAAAATTAGTTCCTAGACCTAACAATGTGAGTGTTATTGGAACAAAATGGGTTTTTAGAAACAAACTTGACGAAATTAGTTCCTAGACCTAACAATGTGAGTGTTATTGGAACAAAATGGGTTTTTAGAAACAAACTTGACGAACATGGCATAGTAACAAGAAATAAAGCCCGTTATTGGAACAAAATGGGTTTTTAGAAACAAACTTGACGAACATGGCATAGTAACAAGAAATAAAGCCCGTTTAGTTGCCTAAGGATTCAATCAAGAAGAGGGCATAGACTATGATGAAACCTTTGCACCGGTTGCAATGTTAGAATCTATTAGAATGTTTTTGGCTTTTGCAAGTTTTAAGAATTTCAAACTATTTCAAATGGATATTAAAAGTGCTTTTTTAAATGGTTATATAGAAGAGGAAGTTTATGTTGAGCAACCCCCCGGTTTTATGGATCATACTTTTCCTAATCATGTTTACCAGGTTCAAAAAGCTTTATATGGGTTAAAACAAGCCCCTAGAGTTTGGTATGCTCGCCTCTCTAGTTTTTTTATTGAAAATAGTTTCTCTAAAGGAAAAATAGATAATACTCTTTTTGTAAGAAAAAGGGGAAATGATTTTATCTTGGTCCAAGTATATGTTGATGATATCATTTTGTAAGAAAAAGGGGAAATGATTTTATCTTGGTCCAAGTATATGTTGATGATATCATCTTTGGTGCTACTAATGAAGCTTTATGCAAAGATTTTTCTAAAGTTATGCAAGATCACTTTGAGATGAGTTTGATGGGAGAGCTTACATTTTTTCTCGGGCTCCAAGTCAAGCAAACTAAGGATGGGATTTTCGTTTCACAAAGCAAATATGCTAGATAATTGGTGAAGAAGTTTAGTTTAGAGAACTCTAAGCATGCCCCAACTCCAATGAGTACAAGTATCAAGCTTGATGCGGATGATAGTGGTGAGGATGTAGACCAAAAACTATACCGAGGTATGATAGGTACTCTCCTTTATCTTACCGCTAGTAGACCCGATATCATGTTTAGTGTGTGTGCATGTGCACGTTTTCAAGCTTCTTCTAAAACATCTTATTTGATTGCGGTTAAAAGAATTATTAAATATGTCAATGGAATAATTGATCTTGGTTTATTTTATCCAAAAAGCACCTCTTTTGATCTTTATGGTTTTTGTGATGCCGACTTTGCCGGATGTAAGGTAGATCGCAAGAGTACGAGTGGTACATATCAATTTTTGGGTAACTCACTTTCTCTTGGGCTTCCAAGAAATAAAATTGTGTTGCCTTGTCTACTACGGAAGCGGAATACATTACCGCCGGCTTATGTTGTGCCTAACTTTTATGGATGAAACAAAGCTTAGTTGATTATGGTTTGCTTTTTCAAAATACAAACATTTTTTGTGACAACACTAGTGCTATAAACATTTCAAAAAAAATCAGTTTTGCACTCTAGAACCAAGCATATTGATGTACACCACCATTTCT